TACTCACTTTGATTTATGTGCGTGGTCCGGACCGATATCCGGAAAGCCTTCTATGTGAAAATATGAGAAATAGAAATTTCTAGAGTTAAAAAATTTGATTATGGTTGACTTTGGTCAATATTTTGAGCAAACGGACCCGGATCCGTGTTCCGACAATCTCGGAAGGTCCGCAGTAAAATATGGGACTTGGACGTATGCCCGGAAATTAATTCCGAGGTCCCAAGCCTTAGAAATTAATTTTTGAAAGAAATTGTTTTACTGAATTATCTAAGAAATAAAGAAAAGAATTAATGTTTGAAACTATTGTTATCGGGCCCGTATTTTGGTTCCGGAGCCCGGTAAAAACTTGTTATAGTATTTGAAAGATAACTGTGAAATTTGGTGAAAAACGGAGTTTATTTGACGTGAGTTGGACTTCCGATTGAAGACTTATGAACTTTGAGAGTTCTTGATGAAAATGTTGAGTTTTGAGGTTTAATTCATGATTTTACATGTTATTTTGATGATGTGATCGCACGAGTAGGTCCATATGATATTTTTGAGTTAGCATGCACATTTGGTTTGGAGTCCCGAGGGCTCGGGTGAGTTTCGGGTAGGTTCCGGGGTGTCTTAGGCTTAAAACATGGCTAATGGAGGTTCAGAGAAGTGCAAATCTCTGAACCTGCTACTGCGGTCCGTACTAGTTTTTGTGATGTTCGCACTGGTGACTGTACAGCCGCAGTTGATTTTGTGCGGTCCACACAGGTTCACTAGTCCGACTTCGGAAGCCTATATCTTTTGATCTACAAGGAATTTTGAGATGATTCAAAAACAAAAGTTGTAGCCGTTCGTGTCTAGTTTCCAGAAAGGTAAAGAAATAACAATTTGGACATCTCTAGAGAAATCTATGGATAAAATACTAAAGCATGTCACTGCAGTCCACACGGGGGTTGTGCGGCCGTAGTTGATTTTGTGCGGTCCGTACAGGGCATCTCAAAGTAGTATATTTAGACGGAATTTTCAGTTATTTTTTATTTTTCAAAACCCCAAAAACATAAGAGGCGATTTTTCAAACAACCTTTCTTCTCCAAAACGTTGGTAAGTGATTTCTAACTCATTTTCCTCACTCCTTAATATCTTTTAACATGATTTCAACTCAAATCAATGATTTTCATGGGGGAAATTGGGTATTTTGGGTAGAACCTAGGTTTTTCAAAAATTGGGAATTTGGACCTCGATTTGAGGTCCGATTTCAAAACAAATTATATATTTGAGTTCATGGGGGAATGGGTAATCGGGTTTTGGTTCGAACCTCGGGTTTTGACTATGTGGGTCCGGGGGCAATTTTTGACTTTTGGGTAAAACTTTAGAAAACTCATAGTCATGTATTCAAATTGATTCATTTAGCGTTTATTGATGTAATTAAGTAACTTGTGACGAGATACGAGCGAATTGGTGGTGGAATCAAGGGGTAAAGCTATAATTGAATCGTGAATTGTGTTTGTGGCATTGACGTAAGTGTTTGGTCTAACCTTAGCTTGAGGGATTAGGATTCGAGTCCTATTTGCTATGTGGTAATTGTTGAGTACGACGTATAGGCATGGTGACAAGTATCTATACGTTGGTGTCTAGCATGCCCGTGAGTCTTATATTGTGATTATCATGACTTTGTTGTATCTTTAATGCCTTGGTAATGGTCTCTACTTGTTGTGTAAAGTTTGTGGAAGGAATTGTGACCTATGAACATTGAGGAGCATTGGCTCAAGTTGTATAATGAATTGTGAACGTATAAGTAATAATTGAACCTCTAGAGCATTGGCTCGAGTTGTGAAGTGAGCTGTGAAGTAAAAGTGAGAAAGAGAAGAGATCATTATGTTGTCGCCCTTGCCGGGCTATTGTTGATTTATTCATTATCTCCCTTGTCGGGATGTTGAGGTTATTAATGATGTTCCCTTGCCGGGATTTATTTGTTGAATTGTCGTTCCCTTGTCGGGATTTATTTGTTGAATTGTTGTTCCCTTGCTGGGATCTTTATTGCAATTTCATTTATTCCCTTGCCCTATTGTTTGTGATTGTTGTTTGGGTGAGGAAGAGAGTTGAAGCACGAAGGGTGATGCCGTGCATTGTTTGTTTTGCGAGGAAGGAGTGTAAAGCACGAAGGGTGATTCAGTGTATTATTGTGAGGAAAGAGTGTAAAGCACGAAGGGTGATGTCGTGCTGCATAATGTACCATTCTGTGCTGATTTTATTGATTATATGTTGAGGAAAGAGAGTAAAAGTACAAAGGGTGATGTCGTGCACATTTTTATTATATGATTGCTTTGGTGAGGACGAGAGTAAAAGCACGAAGGGTGATGTCGTGCATTTGTTGATTTCTGATTTTTTGTTGATATCCGAGTTATATTGTTTCTTTCATTACTTGATGTCTTTCTATTCGAAATTGTTACCTCCCCCACAGCATGCTCCCCCTCCCATATTGACTGGTTATTTCTGTATTTCTTTCCGTTGTATATGTATTTGAATTGCACAGGTTATTTGGTAGTCTGGTCCTAGCCTCGTCACTACTTCACCGAGGTTAGGCTAGATACTTACCAGCACATGGGTCGGTTGTGCTGATACTACACTCTGCACTATGTGCAGATCCCGGAGCAGCTTTTGGACCGTAGTGTGGAGGCTACCTTCAGTCCACACGAAGATCCAAGGTAGACTTGCAGGCATCCGCAGGCCATGACGTCTCCCTTTATCCCTACTATCCTGTTTCATTTTCCTTACATTCAGAAACAGTTTATTATTATTTCTTTAGACTTTTTATGTAGTAAATCTTAGACCGTCTATGACACTGNATGTGTGACACTGTGACACCAGGTTTTGGGTGCTTTAGGTTTTAAGAGTTGTAATAGATGCAGATTTCAGATATTTAGTTGCATTATCTTCCGCTTAATTATTTAAAGTTCTGTTGTTTTCATGTTATCGTCTTATATTTGTTTTAAAAAAATAATTGAGTAATGAAATAAGTAATTAAATGATTGGCTTGCCTAGCTCATATTAGTAGGCGTCATCACGACTTCCGAGGGTGGGAAATCCGGATCGTGACACTATGATTCGTTATTGTAGTTTTGTTCTTTATTACCAATTAGTTCATGTTACTTATCTTTGTTTAGGTTTAGCATTCACTTTACTTCTATATCTTGATAGTGCCAACATTCGAAGGTGAACTAACTTGAGATTTGAGGTAAACTTTTTACATAAGCTATGTAATAATAAACATGCATTCTTGATAAAAGAAATTCAAATTGAAAGATTGTCAATTATGGATATCATAGGACGTATGTCTCATATATGCATGCTTGATTAAGAATTGCAAATTAAAGGTTAATGATTACGGTCCAGTGGAACTTTTGGAAGAGAAGTTAGCCTATGGTTGTATTTCTTGCCATTCGACTAGGGTAATTTCTTGCTATCCATATAGAGCTGGTAAGTCTCTCAAATGATGTCTAAAAATCAATAAACCTTGTGCAACTCGGCATTTTTTGTTGTTATGTTCATTCTTTGTACAATTAGTTCTTATATTATGTAATTTTTTCGTTGTGGTTGATTTATTGAAGATTATTATTTTGTTTGTGCTTATATTTATAAGATTTTTATATTAAAAAATATAAATTAATTGTAAATAGAAGTTGGCGTTGACGTATGTGGGTCTGCAATGCTTATAATTTATCTAATCTTCATAAATCAATCTTTTAGTACAAATATTGTCACTCCTGTTTGCCTTCACACCTTCAAACAATGTGAGTTCTTCTTTGCATGTTTATGTAAGTATTGTCATATATAGCTAATTATATTTATGACATCATTGTTTTTGTTTTATTTTTATATGAATTTACTCTTGAAATTTTATTTAGTTCTTTAGTTAATTCTATAGCTTTAACCTAATTATTATAAAATCACCTTAGGCTCGACTTCTTATCCAAATTAGGTTTTCAATAAGTTAATCCAAGTTATTGAACCAGTCAAGTTAATATGCATAAGACTTAAGTACTAAAGTAAAAGTGATTTGAAATTTTTAGTCAAAATTTTAGGTGTCAAGTATCTTAGGAGTTGTGTAAAGTTGTAATTACTTTTCGGTCAAATTTTTTGAGTTGGAAATCGTTAAAAGTTATTTTTCTATTTAAATTAGAAGTAACTATTATGATGTTTCGCAGTAATTTTTCATCAATGTTCCAAACACAAACACGAAGATTACAAATACGCTCTTGGGCAATTTTTTCAAAGCTACTTTCTCTTTAGAATTCATCTCGAAAATAAAATCCTCAAGATTTCAGGTTATATAGTGTAATAGTTCTTGTTATTTTTTCTAATATCATATGATTTGTTGGTCATTTGGAGAATTTTTTTGGTGTACAGTTTCTTCCTTTGTTAAAAATGATCAAAATTATTAATTTTCAGGAGTTTAAACTTTTAAAAAAATTATTTTTTATTCCATAACTCATCAAATTTTAATAATATTTATATAATTCTAAGAAATTATATTTTCAGACTAGTGGATTAAAATAAGCTCAAATTGGTAAAAATAACTTGAACACAGATAAAGGATAAATTCGAGTGTAATAAAACTAGTCTAATAGCCCGTTTGGCCAAGCTGCAAAAATCAGCTTATTTTGAGAAGTGCTTTTATTCAAAAGTATTTTTCTCAAAAGTACTTTTGGTGAGAATCAGTTTGTGTTTGGCTAATTAGTTTGAAAAACACTTCTGAACCGCAATTAGTGTTTGACCAAACTTTAAAAAACTGCTTCTAATTGTATTTTTTTCAAAAGTGCTTTCGGAGAGAAGTTATTTTTTTCTGTTTTTCTAAAATTGTTTCTGCTTCTCCTCAAAAGTATATTTTTTCTTTGTAAAAGCTTGGTCAAACACGTCAAATTGATGCCAAAAGTATTTTTTGGAAGAAAAAAAATTAGTTTTGGCCAAAAAATAAACTTGGCCAAACGTGCTATAAAATTGCTTTGAGTGCACATTCCCGAGACAAAGATATTACAAGTATTTGCATTTTACAACTGAAATCGTCCGTTTTGTTGTGTGGCAATGGCTGCCGCAATTTGGGCCTCCTCTTCTTCATTTGCTCGCGCTCTCCACCCTCTCCTTAGTCGGCACACATCTCTCTCCCCGCTTAACTGTAGTCTACATCGCTTTAAATCAGCTAGTTGTTTATTTTTCTCGACAAGCAGTAATAAACCTCCAAAATTTGCTGTTTACGCTCAAGCTAGGCGAGCTTTATCTCCTAAAATCAAAGGAGACGAAATGGCTTCTCGTAAGGATCTTTATAATTCTTACCAGAAATCTAATTATAGGCATTTTTTTTCGCAAATTAAAATCCTTCTTTTTGTTGTTGTTGTTGTTGTGTGGTAGCTGCTGATTTGAGTTTCGAGGGGCCTCTGAAAATTGTAGAATATCCAGACCCAATCCTGAGAGCAAAGAACAAAAGGATTGGCACATTTGACGATAATTTGAAGAAATTAGTCAACGAAATGTTCGATATTATGTATAAGTGAGTCCATATGTTTCTTAAAATCCTTCATTACTTATCCATTTGATAACTTATCTTTATACAAAAGTTAGTTGTATTAAGATAATTGATTGATAGACTTTGTTGAGGTGTAATTGATCTATATATTGAAACATTATTGATGTTTTAGTTAGTATATGTAGAATCTTTTTTTGTTTATAAGAAAGTCTTGCTATTCAAAGGACTGTAAAGGATGGTTGGCTTTGATTATACGCAGAACTGATGGCATTGGGCTGTCTGCACCACAAGTTGGAATGAACGTTCAACTAATGGTATTTAATGCAGCTGGTGAACGTGGAGAGGGGGAAGAGATTGTTCTCGTCAATCCACGTGTTAGTAGATATTCTAGAAGGATGATACCTTATGACGAAGGTTGCTTATCTTTTCCAGAGATATATGGTGATGTTGAGGTATTTGGACCTATTAACCATTCTTTGTTTGACCTCAAGTCAGTCTACTGCCTTACTATATGTGTGTGCGCATGTGTGTGTGGGATCAAATATGAACCCCGTGATGGAGTGAGATCAAATATGATTGAGGTCATTCGTTCGAATCTCTCAAGAAGCTGTCATACAGTTGATACTTTTCTTATAAAAAAATGTGTTTTTGTGTGTGGGTGGGTGGGTGNTAGTAGTTTTTATTTCTGTCTTGTAAAATATTGGTATAAGATTAGGCTTAATGGAGTGACATAGTTAGTGAGGATTTATATAGTCGAACCCAACTTGCTTGGGTTTGATGCGTAGTAGTTGTTGTTGATACCATATTACCAGCTCATGACATGACGAGGTTAGTCTTAAATATATCTGAAAGGATGATAAGGTTGCTACATTTCCAACCTTGTGCGAGTCTTTTTGATAACCAACCTTGTGCGAGTCTTGCCTAGCATTTGTCTTATTGAATTTGGTATACTACACCATTGTGAAGAATTTGAATTGCCGTATCCTGCTCTGGGAAAAATTACTCCAATGAGCTGGTTCTAACTTCCATGGAAACCTGCATGTTCTATTGCTTTGGGGAAAAGCAAATGTGATTCATGTCAGTAGTTGAAGTTAAATGTATCTAACTTCCTTGATCCTTCAAAGTCCTTCAGTCACTCAATTTCAAACTTCTCAACAAATGGTCGATTTTGTTGGTTGTGCTTTAGGCTTGTGTTTATCCCACAAAGGAGACTGCATCTCAAGAACTTAATATCAAAAGACATCCTAATTCTCTAGTTGGCAAGTATGTCCCTATTCAACTAGGAATTCCCAATTTATACAGCATTATTTTTCTTCCGGCTCATTAAGAGGTTACATAACAGGGCTGCTTACTCTTCCATCTTTTGGATGATGGAATATGTGTGGCTTCTCCAAAAAGTGTCACTGTGTGTGCAATAGAAATTCAAGCCTAGAACACTTTGCATCCTTAGACTGCTTACCTGGTAGATCTTTGTTGGCTAACTTGCTTTAGGGTCTAGGAACCTGAATTTGCTATTCAGATTCTGAAGTTTTTTATGTTCTGAATTTTGACTCACTATACTATTTATACACATTGTATGTTTGCAGAGACCAGACTCAGTGAAGGTAGACGCTCAGGACATTAATGGTGCAAGGTTTGAGTTAACCTTGACTGCGCTTCCCGCACGAGTCTTCCAGCATGAATTTGATCACCTACAGGTGCTTTTTAATTCCATAAATATAAGAGTTGTGTTTAACTGTACTTACCCATAAATTTACGGTTGTTTGGAACTCTCAGGCTCTCCCGCTTACACATTTTCCCTTTTCATTTACTTTGATTCCAGATAAAATGTTTTATGAGTCTTTCCAGTTGCAGTGACTGTACTTTGAGCAGTCTAATTAAAAAAGAATAAGAACTGTAAGACTTGAGTTTAGTAGTCTTCCCAGTTGTGATTCTTTTTATAAGACTGCTCAACAGTGCTGCTGGTGAGTTCAGAAATATGGAGTAGCATTTACAGTCTTTGATGAATGTTCATTAGAAAACACATGGATTCACAATTTGCTTTTTGTACTATACTTCGTTCCAGTTGGACATCTCTCTTTAACATACATCAGCAATGTGCAGGGAGTTCTTTTCTTTGAGAAAATGACTGACGAAGTCCTGGACACCATCCGTGAAGATTTAGTGGTTAGTAGATGATTGTTAAAGTTGGAAGATATACATCTGCAGATGTTACACCTAGGAACCAAGATTTTTCTTGTTTATCTTTATAACTGGATTTCACAGGCTCTGGAAAAGAAATTTGAGGAGAAGACTGGGTTGCCGACCCCTGAAAGCATAAATACACGGAAAATAAAGAAGGCTGCTGTTGGATTTGGCAAATCATGAGTTTACTGAAATCTACGAAAAATTCTCAGGTTTTTGGTGCCTTACCTTAATTTCATTTGTTTATTATCTTACTAAATGTGCTCAATACTTGCTATTTGATGTATGCAGGTTATTTGTGTGATGAAGCACAAACTGGAATGCCAGCTTTTGCAGAACTGTGGTATGGTACACTTGTGCTTTGATATCTTGAAACTATCCAAAAGTGTGTCCTGAGACTTATCGTTCTATTAATACCATTGTGTTTAGGAATGATAGGATTACCACAGTAAAGAATTGAAAAAGGGCTGTAATTACTTATTTTGAGAAGGATGAAAATCAAGAAATGGCCTTGTTGGCATATCTTTTTATTTATTTTTCCTTAATGAGTGTTTGTTGTCTGAACACTTCGGCTTTTGTAGTTCAGTGCGGAGAAGACCCCCTCAACCTTTAGCATTACCTTTTAAAATCTCCATCTTATCCTACAATGTTTTAACCAATGGAATATCCTGCTTAACAGGAAAAAATTAGGATGGATCCACTGCATTCGTGTTAACTAATTGAATATCCTAATAATAAAAAAAAGGTAAGAAGAGGATGAATCCACTGTTTTCATCTTTACTCTAAAAGTCTGAAATCTGAATAATATATCTCATTTATATTTACTTGTCATTCACCAAATGTGGTGACATAAAATATTAGGGCCGAGAGGGATGATATGATACTTTCAGCTGTTGATTTTGGTATTTCTGTGCTTTCAAGGATGAATTGGGGATCTAAAAAGGGTTGCGGTTTGGTTAGTAAGAGGAAACCAAAGGAATTAACTTTACCAAGTTTCGGGAGCTATAGTGCAGAAAACTATAGAAGAGCAGGATCAAATGTTGCTGAAGTTGGCTAGTTGCATATGCAAAATTGTGTTTTGAGACATTTACTTTGTTAATAACTTGTAAAAAAAGGCCGCATGTTATTTGTAGAATTTGTTTAGAGAAGATAAGAAGTCAAGAGTATAGTGCAAGTTCTGTCTTCCGAACTGCAGACAGATACTGGGGATAAATAAGACTAGACCTAAAGAATTTGGTCAGTTGTATGATGTATAGTGACCTTTATACCCTATTCCCTCTCTAATATCTAACAACTCATTTTGCACCATTTAAGCTAATTGCTTCCCCCTATTTGCTCATTCGCTATTACTACCACAAGGTCATGACTTTGTATTTTGCTTGTCTGGATACTGGCAGTCATAGTTTGCCTGAAGATTTGACATTAGCAATACACTGTTATACTTTTATACTTGGCATCACTTTCAGAATTTTCAACAAGAATCAGCATAAAAAATTTATCGGAGTCATAATGCATATTCATAGTTCTCCAATTATTTTCCAACAGAATGGTTTGGGAGTTTTTTTTTTCTGGTAAAGGTTTCAGCTCTACCGTTATCGAAGTTATACCTCCGAATGGCAAGCAATCACCTACAAGCAAAATGAACGGTTTTTATGTATATGTTTCTTTTAGGAATTGGTATGATATCCTTTCACAGCCTCTGCTGATGTCTAATGATGGCAGTTTCCGCATCAAATTAGAATTGATCAATCATGATGGGGTTTGAACTCCCGAAACTTGAATAATCAAGAACATGCTGAGCATGAGCCAAAGTTTATAGAGAGAATGTGAGAATGTGTTACTGTCTTAGAGATTTAAAAAAGAGGGAGATAATTTTGGTGTTTTGAATTGTGGAGTTATGGAAGTAAAGTTTGAGACACAAGCTTTAGAGTCATCCTTCCCTAATCCACCGTTGCTACTTCCATGCCCAGGTCCACAGTTCGTGTTGTGTATTAATGCAGCTGAACATATACTCTTTTATAGAGAGATAGTCATCTCCTGCAAACTGATTTCAGCTGGTAGTTACATTTCTCAGACTGGTTCTCTGTTCCATGCCTGCTTGGCTGTGGAAATGAACTAAAATGTATATGAATTTGTCATAACTTAATTGTTTAGTTACTGATGTATTATATACATCATGATAACCGGTGCTAGTCTAGACCTGCAGTTTCTGAAATGATGGAAGCAATCCGATGGATCATGCATTGAGTTCTAAGTTTGCAGGTTTGAGGTACTATTTACTTTGTTGGGTGCAGTGGCGGATATAGGGGGGCGGAAGGGGTTCACCCGAACCCCCTTCACCGAAAAATTACACTGTATATATAAGGCAAAATCTGTTTTTTACCTCTATATATTAAGTTTTGAACCCCCTTAACACTACCCAAAAGTGTAGTTTAGCGTTTAAGGGGATTCAAAACCTTCATAAGGTCATAGATTCAATTTTCACTAGCTAAAAAAAAAAAATTTGAACCTCCTTCTTGGAGATCCTGCCTCCGCCACTGGTTTGGGTGATGCTGCAACTGAGATAACTCCCAACCTAAGTGCTTGGGCATCATTGCATGGGTTTCACTCAATAAAATTGAGCCTCCATTTTAGTGTCAGATTTTGACAAAGTTTTAACAGATTACACTTGTAGTTACCCGCTGATATTCTTATGCAGGAGGAAAGAATTTGAGGGGAAAGCTGGAAAAATTAATGAGAGAGTACCTAGTCCAATGAAATACTGTCCATCTTCTTGCTTGAGTTCCCAGACCACGTAATGTTATCCCTTTTAAGCTTTGGGAAATCGTAGCATTAGAAACACGACCCCATAGAAACCAGAAGTATTGGTTGTCCTCTTTACAATCTATTTCCATAGCTTGCTTGTCACAATGTTAAACATCTCAGGGATATTGCAATTTTGGATTTCATACGAGTCAATCAATTCCCTTGACAGAAAAGGATGAGAGGGCTAGATTAAACTATGGCTCCTCTTGATCGTGATTAGCGGCGGCAAACGGGCGGGTCGGGTCAGATATGAGACGAGTCGAAAACGGGTAATGAAAAAACGGATTCATTATCCGATCCGACCCGTATTTAATACAAAAGGGTTAATTGACGGATAATATGGGTAACCATATTATTCATGGCTTCTTGAATATGATAGTCTCCCAAACTTGAGGAACCGCAATTTGAGGTTTTACAATTGTAAAAGATAAACTCATTGAATGGATAATATGGTTCTTATCCATATTTGACTCGTTTTTAAAAAGTTTATTATCCGACCCATTTTTTAGTGACACAATATAGGCGGTTAAATGTTTTCTTTTAACCATTTAGCCACAACTAATCGTGATAGACTCTTGATAAACCATATTTAAACTCTATCGCATAGTAGTTGGGTCGGCTATTAGGAACTTTCACTATCCATTTCGTTCCATTTTGACTATTAAGTTTTGGGATTTTTACATACCTATACCATATACCAAACCTTATTACCTTCATTGTTTAAGGATTGTGTTAATTACATTTAAGCATATCAAATTACCATTTATATACCATAATTCAAATTAAGGGTATAATTATTCCTTCATTTATTGTAGGCGTGATTTTAGGACCGTATTTTCACTTTATTTCGTTTACCCGCCTCTCTCTCCTTCCACACCCCCTACGATTTACCTTCAGTTAATTCCCCCCACCCCCACCCCCACGATTTACCTTCAGTTTTCCCCCATTCTCGTACAATCTCTTCTCACCCACAATTACCATCACTTTCTTCTCCACTTAATTACCTTCAATTGTATCTCCCACGATTTGAATTCACTTCCATCTTTGACCTCTTTTTTTNATATCTACAATTCTACAATTTATCTACAATTTCTGGAAATACGTCTTCTTCTTCTTCTTCGAGTTTCAATCTAAAATTCAGTCAAAACCAAGTCTAATCTTCACCAAAACCCCTCAAAATTGAGACATAAACTCCAAACCATATTCCCAATTANATTTACCCGCCTCTCTCTCCTCCCACACCCCCTACGATTTACCTTCAGTTAATCCCCCCCCTCCCCCACGATTTACCTTCAGTTTTTCCTCCATTCTCGTATAATCTCTTCTCACCCACAATTACTATCACTTTCTTCTCCACTTAATTACTTTCAGTTGTATCCCCCACGATTTGAATTCACTTCCATATTTGACCTCTTTTTTTTTGGGCAGTGGTTGAAGGTTACTGGTTAACACAGTCGATTGAAACTCGAAGAAGAAAACATATTTCCAGAATTTGTAGATATTTTGTAGTCAAATTAGACAAATTGTAGATAAATTGTAGGCTATTTTTTGCAGAAGATTTTGTAGAAGCTTTAGTCGTTTTGGATTTGTGAAAACAGAAAATAATGCATCTACAATCAGAATACAAATAATCTACAATTTATCTACAAGATATCTACAAAATAGATACATTGAATTTTAATATCCAAATTCTCATTTCAATTGTAGCATAATTGGCATTTTCGACATAATTGTAGAAGATTTGTAGAAGTTTTAGTCTTCCCAATCTACAATTCATCTACAATTTATCTACAAT